GTAAATAATCATTTTATAAACAGTGATTGTACTTTATTACACAATGTACTTGATTAATCGAAAAGGATTGTCAAAAGAAACAGAAGCGAAATCTGAGCTGATAGAATAGAATATAGAATCTTGGATTAGAGGAACGGAATTAAACTTGAAGCAATACAATTCGGGGATAATGCTCGGAATGGAGCAGAATCCAATACAAATGTTGAATGAAAATACAATGACAACTCTTCGAAATAAATCGTTCATTATTCACGTTCTCTGCGGCATCTCAACATAATTAATTGTATGTCTGCGATATTTCAACGATATCGAAAAGAAATTAATGACTGAGCATGTAATCGGGAAATAAGATTGGTAATGTTTGACATAACAATGAAAATATTAAAATTTGAAATACAAGGTAGAATTCGAGGTAGAGTTTCTACTATTCCTGACATTCTTAACATGTTTGCCATTCCAGAATATATATGCAAACGCAAATGAGATGTTTCAAAATTGCTTCAAACATTTTCATCAATATTTGTATAGATTATATAATAGAACTTTATAATAAAAACGTTGATGGTTAATAACAACTTTAAAAAGATTTTGAAAATCTGTATCTTTTTTGGAGAGACTTAGTAGATATATAAAATAACAAGTAAAAATCGAAACAGTGGTTAACCGAGAGAATTAACTCTTTATAAAATCGAGCATAATGATATTCATCGTTTACAAATAATTATAAATAAGATAAAATTTTTGTTATATTATCATTGTTTGTTAATTAGAAGATGATAAACATGATGTACAAAAATTATCAAATGTTCTTATAAAAATTTCTATAACTAACTTAAGACTGACTTTTTTCTTTTAAAAAAGTGTAGAGGACACATTAATATAATTTCTTCAATTTTAAAAATTTGAAAAATAAAAATTAATTTTTTAGAAATTAAGTTTCGAGCTAAAAAATAATAAAACTACATTCTTCAGCTAACCTCAGGGAACTAACTTTCAGCTAATCTCAATTTAGTTGACAGAACTTCAATTTGATTATTAATAATCAAGAAATGACGTAAAAAAAAGCAATAAGTTTTAATGATCAACCTAACATTTTCATTTTTCAAAAATCGACAACCTAGTCAATTTTAATAATGACGAGTCACTATTTTTGTTTTAAAAAAGTTGATTTTAAATTCATCAAAAAATGATTAAAAGTGCCTAATAGTTTTAAAAGACATTCTATGTAGTAAGTATATCAATTTTTCATCAAATATTGACTGTTAAAAAGAAGCAAAATACACATGAATAAAAAAAAATCCTATATATTCAGTCAAGACACGGTATATAATATTTCTTTCTCGTAAATTTATACAATTACCAGTTCAAGCAAACTGTGCATTTATTATCTGTCAGTTTTGAAACACATAATTCTATAAATAAAAACTGGAGTAGCAATATTATAGATTATGTTGACAAGCAATTTAATATTATTGATGCACATTAGTGTTTTAGAAAGCTGTTCATGCACCGTTTTTTCGACCTGGTATAGGTAAATTAATTCATAAATATTATTATATATCAAAGAGAACCGCCTTGATTGAATATGGCATTATTTTTTATTCATGTGTGTTTAATCTCATCGGTCAATTTTCATGTAATATTGTTTAAGAGACGAATCTTTGCAATCGGAGGCAATCTCGAATCGCATCTCGTGCTCGCCAGACACCTGTCGCGAGTAGAGATGAAAATGACCGAAAGAAAAACTAGAAATGTTGAATAAAAAACTAAGTAAAAAGTTCTTTTCCTTAGCCCCTAAAAATATTTTACTCGGATATATTATATTTTTTTAAGCATTTGACGATTATAGCTCTGAACTCTTGTTCTAGAATTTAAAAGATTTCTGTGAAATAATAGGTACAATTAAAATGCACAGAACAATGACTAATTGGCAGTGTGGTCATGGATATAAATACACTACCATATTATTCGGAGATATTTTATACTATACTTCAATTTTAAAAGTTAAGTGTTCCATACTATTGTTAACACAAATAATACTTTGTTAGAATAATTGACGCTACTTTTATTATGCATTTAATGTACGGAAAACATATTCTAAATTCTAAAATATAAATTAATGAAACGTTTAATCGAAATATCTCCAACTATTTTTGGATCGAAATAATATTGGAACGTCGCTTCAATAATTAAAATTTAATATATATGTACAATTATAATTAATACACACAACAAAACAATGTCAATTATGTATCAATATTAATAATAAGATATCTATGTTAACAACAGTATGAACTATTGTTCGTTTGCCTTTTAAAATTGGTATAGAATATCGTTCAAATAAAATATTTATTGTTTAAATAATTATAAGTGATAGATAATAGTTGGTAAAAAATATCAACTTATTAGAAGGGAATGTTTCCACCTCGATTTAAAATTATAAGAACAAAAAGTACTTTTTGTTATTTGAAAAAATGAAATTGTTAAATGTCAAAATGACATAGATATCAAACATTTTAACAGTGAATATCAATAAAAATGAATTCTATATCTTTTCCTATATATTTAATACGAATCCATATTATTTTAGTTTAAAAAAAACCGTTTTTTTTTACCATAAGAAACCCGTTTTTCTCCAAAGTAAAGAAACCTGTTTTCTTTAGTCGCAAGGGCGATACTCCGAAAGTAAGCCGATAAAAGAAAAGATCGTCAACTCACCAAACGTCGCCGGGTCCAGGTGTCACGGTCCCGACGTGGTCGCGCATCTCAGGAAGCACACTGTCGCCGTGGTACGATGCGGAAGGCAGGCAGAAGACGACGTCTCGTGGACGTCCAGCGGAGAGAACGGATTCTTGATGCCCAAACACGCACCCACGCACGCATGCATACGCGGTGACAGTGAACCGCGCGCGCGACACATATGAGACAGGAGAGACACGTAGAAAAAAGCCGGGGTATGGAGGAAGAGGGGAAGGCAAGGACAGACGTGAGCGACATTTCCAAAACAAATTCGTACATTCACGCCGCCACCCAGCCATGCACGACACACACACATACGACAAACACACGGAACGCCTAGAGAGATGCATGCAAACACGTACCCACGGAGGAGTACCGACGACAGCAGTCGCACACCTGACGCGCGAAGACGTTGCGTCCGCGACGTAAGGGGGAGACGCGAGGGTGAGAGAAGAGGATAGAACGGACGTTTGCGGACGATCGGCGCGACTGACAGAGCGAAGATCGTCGCATATCGTCGTCGCAAACGTACACAATACGGGATCCGGACGCGGCACGACGCGGCGTCACGCGTTACGGAGTACGTGACTCGTCGCGCGCGCCGAACCCTCGTGTACTTCACAGAACGGCGATGACATCCGTCGACGTCGATCGGTCGCGGAAAGCGTATTAAAGCGTATTGAAACGCGGAACCGCGCGCGCGACAGCGGGGAAAACGCGCGCGACCGTCCTCGCGAGGGCGGTCCGCGGAGCTTTTACGTGACACGCGCCGGTAGACCGATCACGTTTCACAGCCGGCGCGTTTATGCGTCGCCCTACTAACCTATGCGTCGCACGTCGGCCGGTCGTCGCGGTTGCCTGCTCAGCGAGTTCAAAACATTTCCGCGACACTGACTTGTACGGCTAACACGACGGTTGCCATATTGGAATCCCATTCCACGATCGCTACCGATCAGGCGCGTACGGGAGCGACGCCACGCGGGAATTGGCGCGATCATATCGCCATCTCTGGCCGTCGCTGGCAAACCGGTATGCATCGATTGGTGATAACCAGTGGTCGGTAACTGTTGCACGAATTCGATAATTATATAATTGACGGATAGTAATGAAAAAATTTTTAATATTGTACCATCAAATGAAAAGCTGAGTGTTTTTTAAAACGTCACGTTCGACTGATTAAATGAAATTATTAACTATCGATACTCTCAAGTTAATTTATTTAAAAAAAACTGTTGATAAGATTCTCATCTATGACTGCAGCAATATAAACAATTACGAAAAACTGATCATTGATATCTCAATAATAATGTAATTATTTTAATTACAACGTACAGATAGTTGTTCTTTTTAATTGATTCTTACGCGTTTCTCTTTTTTTTTCCTTTTCACGTTATAGAGAAAAAGAATAGTGTACAATAAGTTAAACTGGACAATAATTAAGTTCAGCTACGAAAGAATAAACAGATCTTATATTTGCATAATTTATTATATTATATATATATATATAAGTTAATTTTTGAATCAGAAAATGTAATATTAAATTGAATACATTATTATATACTAAGTAAGTAAAAAACAGTTAAAAGATAAAGATATCTTATTATGTCTTAAATTATCAGAATCTAATAAGTCTGACAATTAGCAGAATACTCACAATAATGGACCAAAAATAAATACATACTATTCATATATTTTTAACATTTATTATACATATGTATAAAATATATATATTAATTATTTATAATATATATTATTTATTTATTTATTAATCTCACATTGTATAATATGTATATATGTATACTTACATTATCTTATTTCTTACATATATAATCATGAACTTTCTATATAACAAAATTTAATTATAAATCCAATAACGTATATATTTGATCAATAATTTCAACAAAAAGTAATAAATGCATTTATTATAAGTTAAACGCATCGGAGTACTTAATAAATTATTCTTATTTATACTTTATACTATCCTTCTGGTAAAATGTGTACAATTGTAGTAAACTCGTTTTAAGTATAATATTCCAGTTGTCATTTTGAAAAATGACAATGGAATTGACGCGAATCGTCATTAATTCGACGTCAATTTGATGATTTCGACGATGAATCGACATTGATTCGATGTCGATTCCATCATTTCTCACTGAGATATATCTTCCTAAATTTAGTATACTATAAACATACTTTATACATACAAAAATATATGTGAAATAGAGATTTTTATATACACTTTTTTATATAAATGAGTGTCTTCAAGTCTTCACAGGAATTTTTTTCTTTGTGAATTTGCTAAATAAATTTTTCTTCTTTTTCTTATATTCATAAGTACTTGATAAATCTAAGCTGTCTAAGTTATTTACTGATGGCAGATTTTGAACAATTTCTTCTGTAGTTAATTGATCGTTTTTCTTAATTTGTTTCGTCTTCAAATTTGAAGTAATTTTTTCCCATCGTAAGAATGTCTTATTCTTTTTATTATTAACATTTAAAGTTTCTATATTACTTTCTTTCGCAATAATTTCATTTTTACAATTTTCATTCTTGTGTTGTGGAGATTTTATAGTTTCTTTGTTTGTTTCTTGAGTAATATGAGGTATATCACTGTATTTGTCAGAACAAATTTTCTTTACTTCTGTGGTCTCTTGCATTATACTGTTGTTTCCTATTTGAGTTGAACTACTGTAAAATTAATAAGTATAAATCATTTAAATTCTTAAAATATTATTATATATATATAAATAAATCAAATAGAACATAATACGTTACCATGTAGCAGTAGAATTTGGAGCTTGTATAGAATCACGTAATTTGCCCCAAAAATCAAATAATCCTTTACGATTATAATCCAAATTAAATATATATTTCAGTTGAAATGGCAATTCACAGCTTTTGTATATACATGGTATAATTTTTCTTTGTCGCTTTTCTAAGAAAAAATAGGATCTTTTAGAAAACAATACTCAAAATTAATATCATTTCAATTGCATTTTAAAAGAAATATGATATGAAGCTGTACCGATACTTAAAGCTTGAGTATAGTTTAAAAAAAATTTGTTTGTTGAGTGTTTCATTAAATTCGGTGATACTATAATGAGTAATCTATTACATCGTTCGGATATTAACTCCATTACTGCTTCATGTTCGAATTCTAAACCAGCTACCAAATCTCGATCTTTCAAACATAGCTGAAAGCAATAACAGAATTTCATTTTATTTAAATTTATGTAAGAAGAGGTCGTGCATAAATATAAATGTTACAAATAATTTTATTTATTTTTAATACCTTTAGCTTGAATTGTACCTCAAGCTTCTCAATCATCTCATTCACAAAGTCAATATCCTCTTCTGCATATAAAAGAAATGCATCGTAATATTGCAGTCCTAAATCTTGTTTTAATCTATGAATATCATCTATGAAAAATAAATATTATGTCGTTTAATATAATTATGTACATGAATCAAGTATATTGTATTGCACAAAATAATTTAAATTAAAATCAGTATGAATCATCAAACAAGAATATTATCACTATGAATCGTTAAACAAACCTAAAGTAAGTATTTTTTTATCGATACATTCGTCCATTGGATCTACTGAAATTTGAGCTTTTTGTTCATGTTCCAAATACCTCTCAGCATCACTTTCTACAACAATTAAAAAAATCTTTGAACGATAATTGTAATTATTTTTTATCCTAAAGTTTTTTGTCCTTGTATTATTTATATATATATTTTTATCAAATTAATGAATATCTAAGAACAAGTTTTTGTTTTATTTAATGTAACACATACGGAACAAAGCTTCAGTGTCATCAATAATGTCCCATCTATCCATCTGTTCCATCATTGCTTGAAAATCTTTTATTGCAATGTCTTTTTTATTTTTGTCTGTCAACTCTGTGAATATGCGCATTGTTGGATCAGAATGTGACACAAGCATTGACACAAATTTTGAGCTGAGTTCTAACTGATGCGCCAAGCCTCTCCAATCCCTTGTAATTTGTTTAAAAATTAGTTAACACAAATGATATTTTCAAAAATGCATATTTATAACTATTAAAATTGCGAACGATAGTATACCTTGGCAAACCGTTATCGCTTGGCAGAACTTTCACTGGGTTTAACATTGTTGCAATAACTTGTCTGCTCGTAACAGTGGCTGCAGCAAGCGGCACAGTTGATAAATCAATCGTCATTTTTACTTCTTCTTTTCTCTTTCTTTTATTTAAATAGATATTTATAGAGATACAATTTACTGCGTTTTATATACTATCCGAAGTTGACGTTGTCACAGTGTAACTACAACAGTATTGTTACTTTGCAATAAAGTATTTGACGTAACGCTTTGTTACAACAATTCATCATTGCTACGATTTGCTTTCTGATGATTTCTTATGTATGTAATTAGCATACATTAGATGTCAACGATTGTTCACGGATCTTTTTTCTATTGTAAGATTTCCATTCATGCGAAAAACCTTTATTTCACTCTACATTCACTAGAAACAGACTACTACAAGTGGTTTAGGCAATGAGAGGTGAGGACGAGGAGTGGTGAAGAGAGGTTTTCTGGTTCTCTCTCTGGTTCAGGGCTTCTCCTGTAGATTCTGGGGAATTCTGAGGAAAAGAATGGGGGAATTTCAGTGCTTCTTGCGATCCTCTCCTCGGAAGTGACGAGTTTAAATGTGAGTCATGTGATGAGAATGGAATATAATTGTTAAATTTAAACGTCATATATACTTCAATGTTACGTTTGTATATTTTTCTTGTTCTGTTAGCAATTAGATCTTATTGCGTACAAATAGCTCCCCAATATTTAACGGTTTTAGCGCTTAATATCATTTGTTAAAAACGCCGTATCCTCCCGACATTTAACCCACAAAATGTACTTTATAATCTAGTTTATAATTAAATATTAATTATCTTATCAGTAAAATTACACAAAACAGTATTTCTAATCATATAATTTATTTTTCTTCTATAACTTTTCTTTTTACGTTGTACAAGACAAAATTATTAATAATTAAAAGTTCAACAGATTAAAAATCAAGAACTTATAGGTGATCTGATCAGCTACTCTAGTTCGTGTTAAGATAAATAAATTTACAATTATATACATTATAATAATAATCTTCTTATTTCTAAAATGTGGCCATTTTAAGTGACAGATAAAATAATGAATAATGTAAAAAATAATAAATAATATCAATTTAAGATATCAAGTAATAGAGATGTTTTGATTTTATGTGTCATTTTCATATATATCCAGAGTGCGAATAAAATTATTTTATTCTTTGACTGAAGACCATACAATTTTGGTACTATTTCTACAGCAAACAGAAAATTTTATAAAAGATATTAGACTTTTTCAGTACTTTCCAATGTTTTATATTTTGTATAAAAAATCTGAAAAATTTTGAAAAATATTATATAAGGAATTCTAAGAAAAATTTTTGTCTGGGATGTAAAGTTATATCTAGACACACATATAAGCTGTTTTATGTCCTAATTTTAGACATTATTATTATATGTACTGTTCAGATACGTACGTTATATTGTTCAGGTCACGTGATATTTATTTGTTTGATCTTTAGTGTTATTAGCTATATGTAATGTATAGAAAGATTATCTATATAGAACGCTTCTCTGATTATCAGTTGATTGTTTCAAATCAAAGTGTTTTCTTTTCAAAAAATCATCTTCATTTATTTTCATTGTCGAAGATAACGAGATACACATACTTCTTCAAATATTGGTAAAAATTAATTAATCAATAAAATGTGTAAGCGAATAAATGCTATAAATCGATATTACAAAATCTTAATATATGATGAGATCAACAAGCAGGTGAATACGTGAATATAAATAATATATTGAGAAATTGTGAAATATAATATTGATAAGCTTAATCTATATTGTATAAACTATATTGTATAGAATGTTTTATACTGTTTTTATGTATGTGTTAGGAAGCACTAAACAAGATATCTACTTTACACGAAAATCTGAAATTCAAGGATAATGACAATTTTTCAGATAGGTGAATACATAAATACTTATTTCTAAATTAAGAATAACGTAAAAATGTAAAACTGTTTCTATATTTTTTATTTCTTTTCTTTTTCCGCATTTATAGATTCCGTCAAACAGTTTCTGTAATAGAAAAGAATTTATCTGTTTTCAAATCTGCTTGTAATCATGTGGATATTATTACTACTCTTCTTAATAATTTTTATACTATTTCAATAAAAATGATATTTGATCGTGAGTTTTATACGTATGATAATAATTTCGTGATTGTGCAATTATAATATACAATTGATATACTGTTTTGAATTTGTATCTTTATATATTCTTCATATTATTTTTGTAAAATAATTTATTGAGCCATATTAAAAACATATTTTAATTTATGCGGGCTAAGATATGCGTTTTCAGATTATTAGAGTTGCGTTTCAAGACCGACGATTGTTGATCGGTGCGCAATTTGGGGGGACTATATGTATATATGGGTTAATTATTAATTTAAATTACATGTCAGTCTAAATGCGAGACGTTATTCTTACTTTGATAAATATTGCGAAGAATATTACTACGTCGACCCTCCATCAGAGGTCTAACAATATTCGCAAATTCTCATATAAGTGCTATTATACACGCGTATATCTCTTCATATAGAATCTTGATTGAATAACTCTCCCAGGCGTCTAAGGTAAAAGCTTCTACTACAATATCTTACTGACGAGTCCAGTAGTGGAAGCCGCGGGACAAAACGCCAAAATTATAACGTGATATATTAGAATAAATTAAAGATTTTAAAGTATTTATTGGCTCGTAGCCCTGTTTCTCTTTATTATTTTTATAAAACAACTTATAATAATGAAACATTGAATTATTTATATAGAAATACTTTTTTTCTGTTTTTAGAGCTTTTAGTCAATATGAATGTTTTCAATATAATATATTTAATGTTTATTATATGTGAAGAAGATAAAATTCCATTATTTTTGAAAAGGGCTATTATGTAATTATCCAAAAATACTTAATGTTGTACTATTATTTATTAAATATATTCATACTTTTTATCATGTTAAAGGTAACATTTAATGTCTGTTTTATAAACAATTATATATTTTTTAGCGATAATTCTTCTTTGACAGATATAGATGGATTATATGAGCGACTAATTTCAAGTAAACATAACATTTATAAAACATAATTTAAAATTATTTTCTTTCTAAAAATAATACCATAATTAAGAAAGAGCTTCTTAAAATTTATACAGATTACACCGTAGAGATGATTGTGTTCGAAGATTCAGACTTGTATGCAGTTATTACCTATTTGAAGATTACACCTTGTTTTCTGTTACGAGTAAAGAAAATTTTTATCCAGGAATCAATAAAACAGAAATTTTTATGGCTTCTAGAAAAAAATTGTAGATATTTTTCAACCGTGAATTTGCCTATTTTTATATTTCGTTTAACGAATGAATTATTTACACACTGCAAAGATTTTTCATCATGTTTCAATATGATGTCTATATGGTCAGAAAACATTACATCTGCAAAAGTATTAGCAATGCAGTTACAAGTAATATAACTTAAATGATATAATACAATTGCCTAAACTATTTAAAATCTTATCAAAACAATTTCTATTTTAAACAGAACGACGTTATATTTATAAATGCATATTTGGAATTTGGTACTGATATTCAGTTTCCTTTAAAGAAAAAACAATTTATTTTTTCTAATTCATATCCCAATTATGATGCACAACCTAAAGATGGAAATAAAATAAATTTGAATATATATACAGAGAATATATATACAGTTTACAATCATTTTTATAATGGTACATGGAAAGAGCCTGTGAGTGATATATATTGGATTCATAATGATGATAAATATGCACACTGTACAAGGTTCGAATGTACTCTTTTTTACTCCTTATTCTATAATAAATATTTGAATTTAAGAAACTTATAAAACTTATATAAATTTGTGTTTATATATTAATTTATTATAGGGAAGATGTAAATAGATGCATAAATTCAGCTGAAGAAGCATTTGAAAGTTGGAGTCATATGCCTGTTCGTTCTAGAATAGAGTTAATAAATAATCTTGTAAATACATTAGAATGCAATAGGTATGTTTGTTAATTTACTAAAAAAATGTTTATACGCATATATTTCTATAGATTTTTTAAATATATTTATATATTTGTATATTCTCAATAACATTTTTAATAAGCAATATTTAAATACTAAATCTTATAGGATCGTACACATGTGAGAAACACAACCAATGAGAAATTGCCTTTAACAATCGTGCTGAATCTTAGGTGCTATTATAATTTGATGTGAATTTATACATATATATTACGTATGTAGTCTTTTAAACCGCGCGAAAACAATTTTTCGGTCTTGAAACACTACGAAACTACCGTAATAATATCACAAGTTAAATTATCTACCAATTTAACAATTTTGATGCTCGTAGCATCTTGGATCTTAATAATGTTGAATGACATATTAAAAATCTGTAAATAATTAATTTATATTGTGAAAAATATTACCTCTGCTGAGAGTCGAACCCGGATCTCTGACATTCCGTGCGAGTCCCACCAATTAGACTACCGATCGAGGCTGATATCAGAGATCCAGGTTCGATTCCCGGCCGAGGTAGTATTTTTTGCAATATAAATTAATTATTTACAGATTTTTAATATGTCATTTATAGATTTTAATATGTCATTCAACATTATTAAGATCCAAGATGCTATTAGCATCAAAATTGTTAAATTAGTAGATAACTTAACTCGTGATATTATTGCGGTAGTTTCGTAGCATTTCAAGATCGAAAAATTGTTCGGCGCATGTTTAGAAGATTACATACGTAATATTAAGTGTAGTAAAAAGAAATCCATTATTTTTGCATGAAATATATTGGAAAAATAATGGATTTCTTTTACTAAGGAATTCACACGAAATTATAATAGCACCTAAGATCCAGCTCGACCGTTAAAAACAATTTTTAATTATAGACTTAACAAACTAATTAAGTAGTTAACTAGTTATAACTATAGTTAACTAAATAAAAACTAAAAGTTAAAAAAAACTAAAACTTAAACTAAACTAGTTAACTAGTTTGTTAAGTCTATGCATGTTTTTAATAAGTTTCTTTTTTTTTTTAGCAAATATCTATTAGCAAATACAATATCAAAATGTATAAAACTTTTAAATGAGGTGTTTAAACCTTCATTATCCGGTTCAAATGAAAGATTAGAACAAATCTATATTCGTGCACCAAGAGGTATAATTTCTCTCTGTCATACTAATGAAGTTACATTATTTAATTATCTGATAACATCTTTATTTGTTGGCAACTGTGTTATTATAGTATGTAGTCAACATTTGTGCAATATAGCACCATATTGTAATATGTTTTCAACATCTAAGATACCTCCAGGTGTTATAAATTTAATATTCCAGAAAGATCTACATTACCCTACTTATTTATCGAATTATTCACTAACTAATTATTTGATGATTGTTACTGTACCGAAGAATATTATACTCCCCCTTAAATAATTGTGTAGTATTACAAACTATATAATATATCATATATTTATTTATACGCAGTATAACTATTATAAACACATGTATTTATGTAAACGTTATAACTTTAAAATAACTTTTTTTTGTCATTTATTTTGAAATAAAATTAATCATATCTTTTAATGCTTTGTATTATACAGACTCCAGTGATAAATTTCCAAACATATCAAAATGTATGTAATGTACTACATCAGTTGGCACTGCTGAATGTTCTCAAAAAAATTAAGAAAAAATAACAATCGTTTATAAAACCGACAAAATTATAAAAATAAAATTAATTAAAAAATGAGTGATTAGTCAATTCGTTTATTGCTTATATCCTATTGTTTTACATTTTCTTTGTGTGTTTCTAGAAATAAAATTATACATCTGTAAAAACAAATCAATTTTTTCTTGATCCTAATAGCACCAAAATGTTATCTTTAATATAAAATCTTATTTGGACCGTGAATTTCAAACTAAAGACCGATGAGAATAAGCCATTTACGATCAAGCTGGATCTTGGATCATCATGCTAACGCATGATGACGTTGATGTATATATACTTAATATGCATTAGTTACTATACATATATATATGTATACACGCACGCACGCACGCACGCACACACACACACACACACACACACGTGTGCGTGTGTAGGCGTGCGTGCCCACGTGTGAAATTTGAAATGCATTATTAAAATGTTATCAATATTTTTTTCTCTCTTATATTTTATGTTTATGGTACATATTTAAGGATATTAAACTATCAGACTCAAGTCTAACAAAGTTATAATAAAAGTATCTAGATTGATAAATTTTGACCACAGAGAAATATCAATATCGATAAAGCATTATATACATCGGGTTTAATTTGAATAGTAATATTTAAATAATAATTGTTTTCAATCAAATAAAATCTTTTACACCATTAATTAATCTTTTAATTCCATGGTGAGAATTAAATATTTTTATACAGCATGTCGAGTTGCATGTTATACAACAATTAACAAAAAAGTACCACTAAAATTACCCGATAATAAAAATGACAAGTATAGGAGAATGTGATAAAGTAAAAACTATTATATTGCAATATACACCTTAATTTATTGACTAAATCTGTTAGTACAACTTTCAAAACAACATATTTCATATTTATTATGCAAAAAATATCTACTTTAGTCCAGTGTAATTTTAAAATAAATGTCGCACTTATTTTGCTTTACAAATAAAAAAAATATGAATTGACATGCATGTATTAACACAAGAAAATTTGAAACAAATAAAATACAATTATGTCAACAATTAAAATAAGCGCAAAGCATAAATAATAATCTAGATAAATAAAATTAATAAAAAGAAATTAAACTATTATTTTATTTATATTTTATTATATACGATTCTATTTATTATATATAAAAATAGATTAAAAGCCGAACAAAGATTTAAGATCGTTTAGCGTAAGTTTTCCGATTGCGTTACTTGTACCGCCACTAAGTACATTGTTTGCTATCTGCAGTTTTCGCTCTTGTAACATTTTAATACGCTCTTCTATCGTATTAACACAAATAAATCTAAAAATAGAAACAAAACGATATTAAAATAAACTTTGTAAAGAACGTATATACGTAGAAATAAAGCACGATATACAAACTTGTAAATGTAAACATTCTTTGTTTGACCAAAACGATAAATTCTATCTTGCGCTTGTGTTTCTAATTGTGGATTCCAATGAATGTCAAATAACAATAAATGATTGCCGCCTACCAAGTTTAATCCCACTCCACCAGCAGTAAGTGACAGTAACAAAATTCTCGGACCAGAATTTAGATTGTTAAAAGATTCCATTATACCCTAAAGAAAAAATACATATATATACACATTAATTTTTTAATAGAATAAAATACAATAAAAATACAGTTGCGCTCGTAAATATTGTTATCCATAAACTTAATATTTTTATATTTCACGAAAAGTTATATATCTTGGTAAAAAATAATCCGTATAAAAGTTTTCGACTACGAATTTTAAAACGCACAAATTTCAAAACTACGTTTGAATTTTTCCTATGGCATTAAATTATACAAAATTGAAAACTGATATTTCTTGTAATATTTTTATTTTACTCTGAAGCGCGTTGCAATTTGACGAAACATCGGACAAAATTTTTAACATAAAAGTGTTTAAAAAATAGGTTTTCTATGCTTTAAGTTTGAAAAAAATTGATATGGATTTGTTTTAAAATATGGAATTGTTTAAGTGGGGAACACAGACTTTTGCGTAATGCATAATGCATAGTGTATAAAAGAATCAACCAATCTAAAACTCTCCTTTCCTTCCATTTCATAGAAAAGAACTTTGATTAGCTGATTCTCTTCTGTACTATGCGTTATGCATTATGCAAAAGCTTGTGTCTGGGCTCTTAATTGGATGTGTTGCGTGTAAAATTTTATTATGTAAAAATTTTCTTTAAATTTGATCTCTCTCTCGTTGGAAGTTTTCAAAAAGAGGATGCCTACGATATAGATTTCTACCCTGGAGAACCTATGAAACCGATAAATTCGTTTATAGAATATAATGAAATCTATTGTCCAATACCAAATTTCACTTTCTTATCGGCAAGGAAAGTTGAAAAAATCTTTATCGTTAAAGATTATAGTATTCAAACATAAGGAACCGAGGACAGACAGAAATTATAGAAAAAATATACATAAGCCTATGGTGGAAGCAGAAAGAAAAAGAAAACCTTTATTATTCTAATACTATAATCTTTAATGTTGATAAATTATTAGTAGTAATAGTCAAAATTGGTCGAACGTAAAACTTCAAACATGATTTTTTCAACTTTTCTTGCAGATAAGAAAATGGAATTTGATATTGGATAATAAATTTCATCATACTCTAAACGAATTTATCGATGTCAAAGGTTCCATCTCCAGAGTAGAAACTTCCCTATACCGTGGGCATCCTCCTCCTCCTTTTAGAAAATTTTATACAAATCCAAGCACATATATGTTATAACATTTTTCTTTTGTCTTTTTCCCGTAAGTTTCTTTAAGTCAAATTTACAACGTGTTCTTTGCTTCTTGTTTCTTGCCTTTTTACCTTAAGCTTTTTTCTTTGCGATCGTTTTATCGACAATTGTATTTCTTTTCACATGTTTTTTGTTTTTTCGAAATTTGTCAATTTTTATCTTGAACAAAAAACAAAAAAAGTGAGAGACAATCTATAATGCATACCTGTCGATCTTTAATAGGGACTTTTCCTGTGAACTTGTTAAATGTAGCACCTTTTATCGAGGGTAAATGTGATGCTATGACTTCCAGCAACATTGTCCATTGCGAAACAATAATAATTTTATCGTTATCTCTTTGTAAAATGTCTTTAACCATGTTAAGTAGCACCTTCATCTGAATCATTTTATATTAAATTATAATGAAATGAAATACAGTTCATTCAGATTATATAATTATCACCTACCTTAGAACTAATACGATCATCATCAAACACTGGATTGTCGATGGTGAGTAGATTTTCCATTATTCTTCTATCAACACCAGTGTTTTCCTCTTCTTTATTATCGATTCCATTGAGTGATATATTATGCACTCGGGATAATAAATCCATGTCCACGTTTTCTATATCCATTATGCCGCTTTGCTGCAGGTCTTCCTGATCCAGCATTGCGTGGATTAATGCCGGATGACAACATACTTGACGCAGTCGTAATAAAAGCACTAAAATCTCATGTGTCTTCACGTCGGCATGCAATGCCAATAATTTATTTTGTGCTTTTGTGAACTGAGTCTCCTTGTCTTAAAAATAAAAAACCGGTAATTGCGCGTAAGTAAATATTAATATATTTCGATGAATAGAAGTATACAAGATATAGGACCGATTGTTCCATCTTTCGGTAAAGTTTACCTGTTAGGTAAATCTGGCAATCCGCGCACGTGATTGGATAATCTTGCTACTTATCTAACAGGTAAATTTTATCAAAAGATGGAACAATCAGCCTATAGCATATTATTTTAAGTGAAATCTTACTTGGGTTTGAGAAATAAGAAGGTTTATTGTATTTGCCACTGTGTAAATCTAACATGTGATCTTTCTCTGCACGTTGAGCTAAAAATTGTGCAAACAGAGTACGGGAATACGCTAAAACTTTTTCATAGACCAATTGTTCTTGTTGATCGAGTTGCACTATCACTTCCTCAATGGACTTATCAGGTAAATTTTCTAACTCGCCGTTTGACATCAATTCTTGTTTAGTTCTGCGCAACATTAACGTTTTCATTACTGTCGCTAATCTTTGATGACCTGCAGCGTTCTTATTGTCTACCCATCGCTTCCAAACGCGTAAATCATCAAAAGGTGAGCATTTAAGAAACTTCAGTATGGAATATAAATCTAACTCCTTATTTTGTATGGGTGTGCCAGTAAGAGCCCACCGTTTGTTCGCTACAAGTCCACAAACTGCTTCAGATGCTTGACTCTTGGGATTTCTCACTACATGCGCTTCATCAAGTATAACCCTTTTCCAATTTATCTGTAATAAAATTTTAATTTGTGATTAAACTAAAAACTTCTGTATTATTTACGTATTAATAAGATTAACATTCTATTTGTTTACTCTTTAATCAAATACTACTTACAAATAAGCTTTAATATACCTTATATAATGTAGAATTGGTTTTATATTCTCGAGATAATATATTATATGTCGTGATGACTAGATCATTTCTCGCCAACTTTTTAGGAGCGCTCTGTCGATTGCTGCCGTGATGCACTTCAACAGACAATAGACCACGTTTGCATCTATTCCGTACTTCATTTTCCCATTGCGACAATAAAGATGCAGGACATACTACTAGAGTACTACCTTTGTAATCTGTCGTAATTACATATATTTATTTTAATAAATTTATTATATTAAGTAGTATATTTTCAAAATTGTTAATTTATACTGAATATAGTATCAATTATATATATATATATATAGTATACAATTTAAATAAATTAAAGTTAAGAAAAAAAAAATTTGAAAAAAAAACATGAATTTGTTTCTATCACAAACAACATTAATAAACTTTTTTCTATTCTACAACATTCTGTGAAACTTTTACATACGTGAAGATTTATTTTTGGTAGTCTCTTTCTCTCTCTCATCATCACTTTCATTAAAATCTTTCTGAGCAAGAGTGGTCAAAACCAAAGCTATCATAGTTAGTGTTTTGCCCAAACCCATATCGTCAGCTATAAGAAAATTCATTTTTAATGATAACACAAAATCAGTTAAATATTATTTAATTTAATATTAATATGTAATTAATATTATAATTTGTTATTTTGTAAATATTTACCTAAAACGCCACCGGATGGCCTTTGCTGTTCTCTCCATAGAAGCCATGCAAGGGCATGCTGTTGATGCGGCATTAACTGTACCTTCAACCCCTTTGGATCTTCTGCTTTTTCCTTCTCTGATGGGCGAGCTACGAGCGATCCGTGCAAATCTTGTAATCGTTCAACCGTTAAAGCAAGCTCCTTATCTCTTGTCGCTTGTGCTTTTTCACCAAGTTGTCTTAGTTCAGGAGATGTGGTAGGTCTCATTGGTATATTGTCAATATCCAAATATGGATAATTTGTGTACTCAGAGTCTAGCTCATCTTCAAAAAATTGTGATTCTTTTGTGAAGTGTGATTTTGCTACTTCACCTTCGGTGTCTCGACTACTGGAGTGTGGCACCAAAGAGGTATTTTCCAATTCATGTGTCAACATCTTGATTTCGTCTTCTCGTTGACGTATGCGTTCTTGTAGTTTTTGTCCTTTATCAGGAAATATATCCATATTTACTTCACTGAGTAGTAGCTAAGAAAGGTTTTGAATATTTATATATGATATATGCATATTACCAGAATTATCTGTACTTTTTATTACAATAATAAATATAATAATAAATATACGTAAAGACAGTTCCAGACAAGGCTAATGTATACCAACTTTGCGCATATTCGCTAAATATTGGCCTACATTTATATAAACAATTATCGTTTGTGTGTAGTATTTACTGATGTGACCGTACATTGGACATAACTAGAGCTACCTTAAATTCATTATTATTCATTATCACGTTAAAGAAAAACACAAACATATCAGATAACAAAATGTTATATATATGTATATCCTCAAAAATTTAAACCTTTTTATCTAATAATATATTATCATGAAAAATGACTGATATATTATTAATTAAATGTGCCAGTAAAGTGAACATACATAAAGTGTATACAACTTTCGGCCGATTTTCGAATCGCCTCCGCCTTCCGCTGTCCTCACCTCATCGCCCCGCGCGCTGTCCAAATGCCGCACGATGGTCGACATACATACACTTTATGTATGTTCACTTTAAACTGACACCTTTAATTAATAATATATCAGTTATTTTTCATAGTAATATATTATTACTATATAAAAAGGTTTAAATTTTTGAGGATCTTTTTTTGAACATGGTTTGACCTTTTCATTTTTATGCTATAATTTTTTTAGGATATCACTTTTTACAGTACAGATATATACATAAAAATCACAAATATATATAAAAAAAGATTTAAAAATATATAACAAAAGAGAGGGGTGGTGAGGATGGGTAGTAGGGAGAGAAGGGGGTGTGGTGGGTCGAACCGTAAAAGTTGCAATATTTGAACTCTTACGGTTACGGAAAGATTTTTAATGAATTGAAATAAGGTATAAAAATGACGATTTGTTTTTCTTTGCAAGAGCAAAGAGCGAACTCAGTATTGTCGTTTCTACATTTTTTTTTCTTTTTTCTTTGTAACAATTGTAATGCAATTGTAGCTAAAAGGAAGCTATGAAGGCTGCCTTTCTGGATTGTTTGATCTCCATGATTTATTTTGCGTAAATATTTTTACCGAGCTAAACGACGAAAAAGATATGCAAAATACAAACTCCAACAAGTTTATTAAATTAATATACTACGTTATGTTATCATACCAATTTTACCGCTACGGATTGCCATTGTAGACGACAGGAGATTTCTCACGGTTACGGTTACGGACGTTACGTTACGTATAATATACGTATATTACATGCCTATTGTAGATGATCTTTAGGGAAAAATACATCAAAACTTTCTATGCATTAAAACGGTCACATTGGACGTAACATAGCTTGGGATAAGAGGCTTGTAGTGTCTATTATTAACTTTTAAATTTAAATTAACTAATAGTTTTTTTAACATGGCCGCAGACACTACCACGTCTCCTGATATATATATATTTTTTTTAGTCTAAAGTTATAATATTGTTGAGAGTAGTTGTTACATTTTTTTGAACGTCCTTCACTTTAAAATATTTACTTTTTATCATGTTTTCTTAACTTCAGGAATATCGTGAAATCTGAAAGTCAAATTCTGCGAATAAGTGGTTAATTTCAACAATTCTTTTCTTGACCAAAAACTGCTTTATGACTTCCTTGTGTGCAAGAACGTCGTCATGCAACTTTCTTGGCAAAGACAAGAGTTGAATTAGTCGTCCATCTTACTCGTTACATCTAACTTTTTTGGATTCCATGTTGTACCTGAAGCTTAAAAATATTGTAAACATTTTCAATACGTTAAGAACATTCAGAATATGACGAGTGCTCTAAACACTATTCCAACTAAATTAAAAAAGTGTCAAATATATTAATGTCATAGAGAACTATAATACTTTTAAAGCCAACATTTTGCTATATGAGATATCTGTATTTTTATTGTTGCAATGTTGCAATCCGGGACTTTTATTATCAAACCATACATATCTTATATGCTTACTTTCATCTTGCTTGATTCATGTTTAAGTTGCTCCAATTTGCAAAGTGTAAGTGCTCTTTTCTGCGCTGTTAATGAATCTATATTTTTATCACTAGTTTCTTCTTTAGCATAAGATTTTGCAACTTCAGAATCGCTGTTTTGTCCAGAAGTAGAATCTGTAATTTATATTGAAAATAAAATTCTCAGACACATTAAAGAACATAATTGAAACTCAAGATATCTTAAAGATCTTTGAATGTTTTAAAAACGTTAAAGTATAAACAAAATTCTCGATGTCGAAACAAAATAGGATAATAACAAGGGCAAATCTGAGAGTCAAACGACAATTTAAATTTTCTTGTATATAAAAAAAATCCTGAATATAATTAAATTTCGTATGAATACATGACATGTTTCGGCTCCTGGATTGAGCCTTCATCAGATGTAATAATGTTCGTGGTATCGCTGTTACAAAAGATTAATTCGCTTTCTTGTAGTGTGTTTGTCGATGAGTAACTCTCCGAGAGAACGAATATGCTGACATTGGATTGACGGATCGATGTCATGTATGCATACGAAATTTAATTATATTCAGGATTTTTTTATATACAAGAAAAATTAAATTGTAAGTTTCGTTTGACTCTCAAATTTGCCCTTGTTATTATCCTATTTTGTTTTAAAAACGTGCTATGTCTCAATTTTAGACTGTCTGAGATATAATGTTATTATAGTGTATAAAAATATTTATCTATTCAAGATTAAAATCTATATATTTTATGTTATAAATAAAAATACCTGAATCAAGTTCAATAGTCACAGGTACATCATAAATTGTTTTATTTTTCACATCTGATACCTGATGATCAGTATTATTTTGTTTGTGTGGCTCATCAAAGTCACTTAAATTCATATTTATAAAAGAATCATTAGAAGAACTAGGTTTTAATTCTTTTATATCTTCTTTGGTATTATCGTGAGAAACATATTTTCTTTTTTTACCCTTATTTTTAATTCGTGAAGGCGAAATAGAAGAATCTACGTAAAATAACAGAACTCTATATAAAATAGTAGGAAATAAAAGAATCTATACAAGATATCTCGTAAAAACCATAACAACGCTTAAGAGGAGTTTCCTTAGATCATTTTGAGACAAAAATTTTAGTCCAAAATGTTAATGCTATAATTTCTTAATATGATATCAATATAATTAAAAACATTAATAATTTTATCAACGCATACTTAATCTTTATATCAATATTAACATGAGGCGACAATTAGCTTCCGCTTTTAGCTGTATCACATCTGAATACACAAATTTTGGCAATATAATTCGCTTTAAATATTTATAATTAAAAAACTTATCCTAGATATTTTAGCACTAGAATTTTAAAATGATCTTAAGAAATATACTCTTAAGTATTGTTACCATTTTCATATAGGACACTATATAAAATATCTGTATAAATTAACACATAATCAAATAAAAATTTTTTTTCAGTAGCAAATATATTTAATATACTATATATTTAATATATTAGAGTTGCGTTGCAAGACCGAAATCTTTCGGCGCGCAATATTTAGGATGGGGGACATTTCAGATTATTAAAGCTGTGTTGCAAAATCGAAAATCTTTTGGCGCGTAATATTTGAGGAGGGGGGGACATTTCACATATATTTCTTACTTTGGATAAATATTGCGAAGAATATCACTACGTCAACTCGCCATCAGAGGTCTATCGATATTCGCAAATTCTCGTAAGTGCTGAAACACGCGTATACCTCTTTATATAGAATCTCGATTTAATAATTTACCAAGGCGTATAAGGTAGGCTTCCACTACAATGGTCTTACTGATGAGTCCAGTAGTGGAAGCCGGGACGAAACGCCAAAAATTACGTGATATTCTTCGCAATATATTAGAATAAATTATCAGAGTTATTTAGATTTTTAATTGTAATTTGACTCTTACTTCGCCCTTGTTTAACTTATTGATTATTATTATATAAAAGAGTCCTTTAAATTTTTAATTTATTTAATATACTATACAAAATCGAAGTGTTACATACAATACTGTAATGTTTATTTACTAAATAAGGAAACACTGTAGTCTTGGTAATATTTACCTGATTCCGAATTGAAGTCACTGTAATATTCTTCATCATAATCATCATGAAAATCTTTTCTTGAATCAAAATTATTAAAGTCATTAATCGTATGATATGCTTCATCATTATCTTCATGATCATTTATCTGTTCATTATCACTGTCAGAATCCAATATACATCTTCTTGTTTTTTTACTATTTAAATTTTTGAATGGACGAACGATAGGTGTATGATCATCTTCACTGTATTTATCCCTATATATAAATATTAAAAAATGTTTTTATGAACACAAACAAGAAAGGAGCCTATAACGGTCAAAGCTAGATCACAGTGCTTATTATAATTATGTGTGAATTTTATATACTGCGTATGTAGTCCCCCCAAAAATCACGACGCTGATAATATTTCAGCATTGACGTATACATACTTACTACCGCAGTAATATCACGAATTTAATTGATTAACAATTTTTGATGCTCATAGCATCATGGATCTTAAGTGTTTTAAATGACATATTAAAATCTGCAGATGATAAATTAAAATTTCATTAAATAAATTAAAATTTAAATTTAAATAATTTATCTAATAATCTAAATTAAAATTTATATTTTAATAATTTATTTGAATTAATAAATACAATATACAGAATGTAATTAAAAGACAAACTTTGGAGGCAAGCATCCTATCAATACAAAAAAAATTATATAAGTATACAAATCCATTAGTGACCAGTTGAAATACTGTATGCATTTAGAAGAACACGTTCAATGAATTCTTTTATCTAATTGGCGCATTTTCTATTAGATCCTAAAATATATGTAGATGAATCAGATGAAAGAGCTCATTGAGCGGTTGTCGTTCTGAATGTACCTATTAAATATGTATCGACATTGATGAACTTGCTCATTGCATAACGTTCTATGCATTGAAAAATTCAAAAAACTGAATCGGAATTATGTTTATGCGGCTGTACAACATGGTAAAAATTACAAAAATGAACGAATTTATTAAAATATTTATAATTTCATTGGTCAATTTCCGATCAATTTGCTTACTTTATCAAGTATATAATACACGTTCGAATCCCGAAAACAACAATAAACGCTGATAGATAGTTTTAGAATATTTATATTGTATCTATCGTAGGGTCACATTTCTATTCTTTGTGGAAAGACATGGAGTATTTTGTACATTGAGTGCGAAAAGTATTCGTACAAGTTTTTTTTTATTATAAAAAAAGATATTTGTAGAAAATAAATATTAATCAGCATCAATACACAATACGTTCTATTGTAACTTAACAACCAAGTTTTGCCTGTATTTCAATTTATAAAGCTAAGATTGTACGAATACTTTCCGCACTCATTGTATGTACCACACAAACAAAACAATCATCGGTCGTCCGGTGATTCTTTTGTTTCAAGCAAACATGTATTATTTTCATGAAGCTAAGTATCTTATGAGAATTTAGCCTTGATAAAACGGTAGCAGTTTAACGATGGAAACTTACTTTGTCGGTGTTGTATCTTCGATCAAATTACATGCATCATCATCATCGATTTCTGCGCTTTCGTCGATTATTTCTTTATTACCATCCCTTGAACAACCGACAACCTCTTCCTCGCTGCTGTCAGAGATGATGACAGATTCTCCCTCGATTCGGTAACCCGAAGAATCACGCCATTGCGTGAAACTCGATTCCATTTCTTATTTGAAATCAATTTGTAATAAAGCCTCTTCTTTCTTGTTTCACCTATATCGTACATGAATCCCTTACAACACTTACGATGCCTTGCACGAACCAGCACAAACTTGCATGCGGGACATTGGACAACCGTATACTGTATTAAGTTTTAAATCTGTTGCCAACAACTGCCAACAACAGGACGACAAAGATCGACAGGTGATTGGACAATACTCGGAGATACAGGATTTAGTATTTTAGTCATAATGCATTGATAACATCAAATCAAGATGTCTTACTCTTGTTGATTTTTCCAGCGCCATTTAATTAATTATACTGTTTGGTTTCAATTCCACAATTAACCGAGGTATTAACCGAGGTTCTAATTATTCCTCATCTTTGCTGTACATTTGCTAAAATTGGCAGTACTGCATACCAAATTGGGATGTGTGTACACACACACACACACACTAGTACACCACACACATTTTTTAAGCTGTATGCATTGAGGTTATATTACATTGCAGGTCTATCAAGGTCTATTCTAGGATTCTAGGTGTATCGAAATGTCATGTCAGAATTATAGATTAATTTGAAAAGAGATAGTGCTTAAATTCATAATAAAATGAGATATTGGTCCAGAGAATGGCAGCTTTAATAAAGAAACGAGTACTAGCTGAATTTAATCAAAGCCAGGCGGTAGTATATCATATTTTATTCTATTTATGAAGCATAGCTACTTGAATCATTATTTTGACAAATTGCAAAATTTTTATTTAGATTGTTAATGAGCCTCCAATCAAACGGCTAAAAACTCTAAGGTTATTATCGACATCTGGTTCGAAGAGTGGTACAGACAGTAGCTCAGCCTTAGCTTATATAGAATGTTTGGAAAAATGTAAAAGTGGAAACGATGCGTTGCAATTGCTTGTTCGTATTTCGGATGCTATAGCATATATAGCACCAGAGGATGTTCCTATTGCTGTAAAGAAGTTAGCTGAGAGATTTGTTGTCGAAAATGAAATTGCAGTTAGAGCCAAGATTTTCTGGGTGTTTGCTGAATTAGGAGAAGTAACGCCCGACACTTTGGAAAAGGCAAAAATTGTGAATGAGACAGCTGAACTTTTGAAGAACGAGGAGTCACACAGAGTAAAAAGTCAAGGATTAGCAACGTTGTTAAAGTTAGGAGATTATCAAAGGTGTACATATCATATATTATTATATTTTCTCTTTTTTCTTTGAGATATAATTCTCATGCATATATATATTTACCGATATAATTTAAATATTTGCTTTAATTAATAAAACAAAAAGAAAACTTTCTATTAATAGGTTAATGAGAAAATGTTTTTATATTTTTAGAGCACTAGTATTGAAGATTGCACAGGAACATTTGCCTGATACATGGCATGGTGTACAAACGCGATGTCTTTCAATTATTGGACGTTATCTAACTGCAAACACTGCTGATGATACCTTAACATTAATTGGCAATTATGCCCGCTCTCAAGATCCACGGGTTCGTGCTCAAGCTTTTGAAACTATGGCAGAATTACATTCTCATAGAGGTTGTAGACTCCCTGCAAGTTTTTTCAAGGAAGCCTGTGCAGCTCTTGGCGATGATTATGAAATTGTACGCCGGGCTGTTCTTAAACTTATCTATCTTTTAGGCCGAGAGTATCCAGAAAAGTCAGTGCATAAATATATTAACAGATTCTAAAAATAAAATCTTATAACATATTTTTTTACATACTTTATATGTTATAGTATCATTGTTGGATCTGATGGAGAGGATGTACGAATGGTAGACTGTGCCTTTTCACAAATTTGCAGTCTTATGGGTGACTTATCACCTCGTGTTAGAGCTTCAGCAATGTCGCTTTTGGGAACTATGAAAAGTGTATCACGTCGCTACATAGAACAAGCCTTAGATAAAAAACAAAAAGTAGTTGAAGCAGACAGACCCGAAGTTGAAGAGAAAAGTGGATCTTGTGGAGCATTCATTCATGGTTTAGAAGATGAATTTTTAGAAGTATGAATTTATCACGTAATGTAAAATGTGATAGACAATTTTCTCTTAGAATATTTATTAGAGCATTGAATCAAAAATTTATTATTGTATGTCACATTTTTTCAAATTTAACTATGATTATAGTTAAACTTTAAAAACAGTTTAATTGTATTTGAACTTCTTTCTATCATCATTTTTCATATTGATTGAAAATAAATTTTATTTTAGGTAAGAACAGCAGCAGTTGAAGCACTCTGCACACTTTCGTTAGAACAACCAAGTATAGCTAGAATTTCATTAGACTTTATGGTGGATATGTTCAATGATGAAATTCAGGATGTCAGATTAAGAGCTATTGAATCTTTAAAGAAAATGTCGTCGAGCGTAACCCTTCAAGAAGACCAATTGGAAACAATTTTAGGAGCTTTGGAAGATTTCTCGGGAGAAGTGAGAGAAGGCTTGCACGCTATGTTAGCTGCTAGTCATCTCGCTACCACAAATTGTCTTTACATGTGCGTTAATCGTTTGTTAGATAATTTAACTCGGTATCCTCAAGACAAAGAGAGTATCAGGAGTTGTTTAGCAGAATTAGGCGCATCACATCCGTACTTAACATTGCCTCTAGTACCACAACTTCTTGGCCGACATCCTTTCTTTGACACACCTGAGCCAGATGTGGATGAACCATCCTGTATCCTTTAAATTAATTCTCGTCATGTAAATGGTCTTAAATTATAGAGCTGCAATGTCCTTAACTTTTGATAACAGATGCAAGTGTACTTGTTTTGATCTTTAATGCTGCATTACACTGTCCAAGTATGCACGCTCTGTTTACAGAGCATGCTTCTAAACACTATCACTATTTGCGCGACACTATGCCGCATCTAGTTCCGCGATTACGACCAGCACTTACTAGTTCAGGAATCAAAATGGAAGATATGGATAATGAAGAGAACAGAAATCAACGTGGTCGAGAATTCTTGGAGAAGATGGGAATTGGAATTGAGAATGCTAGACCAGGGGGAAGAGTTTATACGCAGCTTTTAGAAACCGCAGCCATTGATCTTGATCGTATGGCAGAGATGGATCATCACATGGAAGGTGCGGCACGTTTTACCGCTTTATATATTCGATGCCTGCTGCTACTGAAGTCTGTCCTCAAAGAATGTTCTGTATCTTCGACGACGTCTATCTCAGCGAATTTAGTACCGAATACTAACAACAATATTTTCATTCTTCTTCAGTATACACAAAAGTATGTACCTTTAATATGTATTAAAGAAATTGTTTTGATATAATGCAATTTTGATGATAATAAAAAATTATGTAAGAGAATTATATAAGAAAAATAAATAAAACTTATTATTTTCTCTAGATTACAACGCTTGTTTAGTGGATTAAACGAAAATGATATTACATTGGCTAACGATATGTGGTTGAAAGCACTAGCTATAGAATTAGTTAGGGTAACCAAAAGTGCGACCGGCAGCGCATTACCACTGGCTCGTTATTTCCTATCGGAAGCCGATGCTTTACCTCAAGATACGTCAAGGCTACCACCGTTTTCCAGGGCTCTAGTTCTACAAATACCCTCTTTAGCGGATGTGAAACCGGGTTCCTTAACGCGACTTTTGTTACCATTGCTTTTGACGCCTGTAGTACAAGGGGAAGAACGATTACCGAGACCGTCGGCGACAACGCGCTTCTGCCGAGCACACATCGAGGAACCGAGAGGCGATGCCGATGCTGCACTCAAATTCACGGGTGGTCTTTTACTGGGCATTCCTTTAAATGCCAAGATATTGAATCTACGCGATCCCTCTACTCTGCGAATAAAGCTAAGACATCCAGATCAACAAGTGCAATTACTGTTACCGCGACAGTCAGATCTGCGTATGCAACAATCCGATCAAAAAGATTACAGGTTGAGGACAACAGTTCTACTATCGCATCAAGTGTGGATGGAGCCTTGTAATGTAGAAATCTCTCTAGCATTGCTATTACCTTCATCATCGATTTGCACACATCCACCTTTAGATGATCCATGCGTGATTGATTTGTGTAAACCTATCAAAGTATCAATTGCACCAAAAGCCTTCAAAAGGGGTATATGATTACATTATTGTGTAATAATCATTTAATATTTTTTATCATTTAAGTTGTATGTATTTTTTAGACAAAAAAATAATACTTAATGCAGAGAATTAATTTGTTAATAAAACATGTAATTTAAACAAATTTGCTGATTTATATGTTGAGAGAAACCATTGTGATATAACGAGATAATAAGAAAGATAAAGATATTTATTGCAAATAGTCTAGATAAAATTTTAATCATCTGAATGTCACTAAACACTGAATATCAGAGAATAGGATAATGAATGTTTGAAATAACTTGGAATAGTGGTTAAATGAACAGAATCTATTTTCGTTTTCTAATTATGTGACGCGCATAAACTAAAAGAATAAAAGTATAATAAAATGTTATACAAATAGTATAATAGAGATGAATATTCACTAAAGAAAGAAATCATAACTTCCATTCAGCATTCATTCGTGTTTAATATGAGAACCGACTGCATTATGATTTATATTCAAGTTCAAATTATAATATTGATAAATTATTATTTCAATTTAATTAAAAATATTTTATTGTAAAACCTAGATCCATTCTCATTTATTACAAGGTGTAAGACATGATAGAATGATTTTTTTTCATAAAAAGTACATCTTTCTGAATGTAAAACTGTATGTACACGATTGTAATTTGATAATTCCTTAGTCAATAGAAATTTTTTGCTATGACAGTTTTGAAAGTAAATCTGTCGCAACACCATATTTTATTCATCTCCAACTGGAGAACGAACTGCCGCTGAAATAAGATAATTATTTATTATTTACAAAAATATTTTTGTATCTTTTTATTATTATTTTGACTTAATCAATCGAAAGTTTATTGGTGCAAAAGTTACTACATACGCAGTGAATGTTGGTTTTTCTGGTTCTGGATTCTTCTGGGCTAAGCTACCGAAACTGAGACCACCTGATTGATTGGCTAAAGATTCGAACGTACTGCTGCCTGTTACTTCTCCAAATACTTTTGGCATATTTTCCATTGTAGAGCCAGCTTGCATA